GTTTTCCCTGCCTCCATCTGCTGAGGAGTTTTTGTGTCTCCTCGGAGTGCAGAGCTGGGACCTCAGCAGTGTTGCAATGCTCTGTGGATTAGCACTCTGCTCTTGGCACTGTTGAAGCCACATCTGGAGTGATGCATTCAGTTTTGGGCTCCCCATTACAGAAATGATGTGGACAAATTGGAGGGAGTCCAGTGGAAAGTGATAAAAATGGTGAGGGGACTGGGGGATATGACTAATGATGCAAAGACTGAGGGAACTGGGTTTATTTAGTCTAGAAAAGAGGAGATTGAGAGGGGACTTAGCAGCCTTCAACTGCCTGAAGTGGGGTTTGAAAGAGGATGGACCTGGACTGTTCTCAGTGGTGGCAGATGACAGAACAAGGAGCAATGGGCTTAAGTTGCAGCCAAGGAAGTTTAGGTTAGATATCAGGAAGAATTTTCTCACTAGGAGGATAGCAAAACACTGGGAAAAAGTTACCCAGAGGGTGGTGGAAGCTCCATCTTTGGAGGTTTTCAAAACTCACTAGACTAAGCTTTGGCTGGGATGAACTAGTTGGGACTGGTCTGGCTTTGAGCAGGTGGTTGGACTAACTGACCTCCAGAGGTCCCTTCCGACCCTAATTTTTGATGACTCTATGATTTTAAGGCAAAGTCCGCAGTGGGCAGGGCTGGGGCTGGTAGTCTGAGGCTCCTGGACTCAGGGGCTGTATTTACCCAGGACCCCCTTGGCAGCGATTCCCATGTGGGTTCCTCTGGGGGATAAGAACAGCCAGGCTGGGGGTGCTCCATACCCTGTGGTGTTGGCTTAGGGGCAGGGCTCCTCTTCATGCCATGAGCAGCCTTGGTATGTGAAGCAGAAGAGCAGCTCTTCTGTTTTCCAGCACATGATGTGATGAGTGGGGTCTGAAGCCAACACACAGACATTTGTCTGCTGCCTTGAGTAAGCTTAGTATCCCCTTCCTGGAATTTGAGCTGGGATTGTCGATCCTTACGCCTCAGTGCTGGGCCCCTTGCCCAGGGGTTAATATTACACCCAGGTGGCAGAAGGGAAAGTCCCTGCTGGAATATGGATGCCCCCTGCCAGGCCAAACCCACATGTGGGGCTAGTGTTCCCATGGTTCTTGCCTAGGGGTCATCTTTACTGCTGAGCTTCATGAGAGAGGGACAGAGCTGTTCTCTGGGATATCCAGAGAGTAAGGAGGATGCACTTGCTCCCCTGAAACACCCAGGAAGGCTCAGTGGTCCTCTCTGCCCCTGTGTCAGCACCCTCTTACCAGGGGGTGAGGGCTTGGCAGGGGAGGGGTGTGTGTGTGTGTGTGTGTGTGTGTGTGTGTGTGTGTGCACGTGCACGTGCGTGCTTGTGTGTACATGCATCTGGGTCATGGCAAGGCAGCATGAGCACAGCCTCTGCAAATGCCATTCTCAGTCCCTGCAGAGGAGGTTTTTGTCTGAGCTCAACCCCATTTCCTCTCTGTCTCTCTGCACAGTAATACATGACCATGTCCTCAGGCTTCAGGCTGCTCATTTGCAGATAAGCAGAGTTCACAGAGTTGTCTCGGGAGATGGTGAACTGCCCCTCCACAGCCTTGGAGTACTACTGTTTTGACCCAGTTTATTTTCTGACTTCAGCCACCCATTCCAGCCCCTTCACAGGAGCCTGTTGGACCCAGTGCATGATGTAGTTACTGAAGGGGAACCCAGAGACTTTACAAGAGAAGCACAGGGGTGATTTGGTGGCCACATATAAGTTTATCAGGGGTGCTTACCAGGATCTGGGGGAACGTCTGTTCAGCAGAGCATCCCAAAGGATGACAAGGTCAAATGGTCACAAACTCCTCCATGACCGTTTCAGGCTGGACATAGGGAAGAACTTCTTTACTGTCCGAGCCCCCAAGGTTTGGAATAGACTGCTGCCGGAGGTGGTTCAAGCACCTACTCTAAACACCTTCAAGAGAGATTTGGATGTTTATCTTGCTGGGATCCTATGACCCCAGCTGACTTCCTGCTCCTGGGGCAGAGGGCTGGACTTGGTGATCTTCCGAGGTCCCTTCCAGCCCTAATGTCTATGAATCTATGAGTCCTGGGAGTTTCTGGAAGGGTCCTGTCCATGCAGATCCAGGGGGGTGGCAAGTACAAGAGCTCCTCCTGCTGCAGCTGGCCCTTGCCCATGAGAGAGGCAGCCTGGAGCTGCTCTCAGGTGCCAGGCTTGGCTGGCGCAGAGTAGATAATAGGTTCCAGGCCCTGATGATGGCACCCTGCTCCTGCTTTACTATGTCATGACATCTGTGGGCTTTTCCCCCATTGCTGTCTGTGTGTAAGGGTTAGGCTGTCTGGGCACAGAGTGACCTCTTCCCTGCATGTGCCTTGGGCCTGGTGCAGCAGGAAAGACTGGTGCTGGTGGATGGCCCCAGGGTGGAAGGTCCTGCAGACTTGTGTCCATGAAGAAGGATGTCCAGGTGCTGGGTTCAGGGTTTCTAGTGTATTGAGCTGCTGCACCATTGCATCAGAGGGATGAGGCTGATGATGCAAAACCTAGAAGTGGTTGTGTGTATATTTGCGTGTGCGTGACCTCAACTCTGTTTTCCTTTGCAAATGTTCAGCCCCAAGGTCAGTGCCAGGAGACCTTGATTCCTGCAAGGTGTGAACAGTGGCCCAGAGGTCCAGACTTGGCTGCCCTTGATTATACCTGTGCAGGATATCAGTGAAGGGCATGAGGCTGGGATCAGTGTGAAAGCTGTGTCATCCTGCTTCCCCTGTGCCTCTAAGAGGAGGCTGCAATCCCTGAGCTGAGGGCCCTGCTGTTCCAGCCAAGCACAGGAGGGCTGGGTAGGTGCCCCCAGGGACAGGCAAGGGATAGGTGGAGGGTCTGAGCCCTGTGTGCACTCTCAGAAGGGATGTCTGCAGCTCTGTTCAGTGAGGGTGAAGCTCCATGTGGACTCAGCTGCTTTGTCCACAGCTCCTGCTATGCTGTGTGTCACTGTGCAGTGGTCAGCACAGGAATAGGGCTGGTGCCTGAAGCTGGCAGGGAGGGATGTCCACACCACAGGGAAACACCCAGGGAAGGGTTAAAGTGGCCCTCCTTGCTTCCTCCAGCTGTGGCCAAGCTGGGAACCTGAGCCAGCTGTTGTGGGAGGCTGCAGCCCAGGTAGGAAGGGAGGCTGCAGACTGAGAGAGTGATGCAGGGGCAGTGTAATAGGGGAAGGTGCCTGGCTGGTGTAGCAGGACCAAGTTCACTGGAGCAAAGTTAGGCTGAGATCTGCACATCCTGCTGACAGACATTGTCTCATGGCCATGTCTGTCAGTCTATCTGGCAGGCAGAGAGAACACAGCCCCAAAAAGCCGTGAACACTAAAGATAGCCCAGCCTTTTTTTTTCCATGTTTCTTTCCAAGGGGAAGGCAGGGAAGTGAAAACTTTGGTGACTTCTATATTGAATTTAGGGTGATAGCATGCAGGGGTGCACGTGTACCCCCTGAGTGTGGCAGTGCACCCCCTACAAAAAGGCGCTGCTGCTGCTGGCGGTGGCTGCAGGTGGTTGCCGAACCTTGGTCGGTGCTTGCTGGCGGCATGTGTGGTATCTCTGTGCTTACTGATGCTGCGCTCCTGCCATTGCTGTGCCCCCACCAGCTGCTGGGGGCACGAGTCGTTCATGATAGCAGGGATGGAGAGAATAGATTAAAGGGGTTAGAGAGGCTTTAGCAACACCTGCCCTTTGCTGTCCACATGTCTGCCTATGTGTTAGGAGTCTACAGGACTCTGCTTCAGTGGGCATTCCTGGTTCAGGTCACTTCAGCCTCCAACTGATGCATCCCAGAGCAGAGAAATCCCTGGGTGCAGCGCTGCCAGCAGCAAACACTGAAAACATGGGGATAGGCTTGTTTGTGATCCTCCCAGGCCTTTTCTCCCTGCTGCTCCCATCTGCCTGCTGCCTGCCAGCTGGGGCTGGGCTGTACCAGCAATGAGCACCTTCTCTTAGGAGTCCAGGGAGAGGTTTTGCATCAAGTCAGCTGCAGGGCTCCACATAGTGTGCATCTTGCAGCAGAGCACAGTCGTGTCCTCAGGCTTCTGGTTGGTCACATCATTAGAAACCAGTACTGTCCCTGAAGGTCATGGGTCCTTGTTTGCTCCTATTTAAGGCATCAGAAAGCAGAGACACAGAGTGGTGAAGTGACATGACTACAGTTACCTAGGCAGGCAGTGCAGAGTGTCCAAGTCTCCTGGCTCCTAGGCCAGTGTTTGGCAACGATGGGGAAGTATTTCAGAGGGCCCTGCAGCCTTGGGGTCAGTGTCATGCAGACATAAGAAGGTGATTCTGTGTCAGAAGCTGTTCTTGGTGCTGTCATCAGCTTTGCTCCCAGCTGCTATGTTAATAGGTGCAGGGATCTTCTAGAGTTCAGGGCTTTAACTTTGCCTTTATCCCCGTGTCACAAAGAGCAGTGTTTGTCCATGGAGGAACATCTCGGAAGACTTCAGATAGGAGGGGGTCAGGAAGGGGTGTTCAACTACTTGTGTGTGTGTGTGTGTGTGTGTGTGTGTGTGTGTGTGTCCTTGTATTCTATATCGAGGTTCATATGTGAGGGGAGTTTGTGTGAGGCTCTTTGTTTCCACATTGGTTTCATTTAAACTCTGTGCTTCTTCCAAACAGACCTGCATGTGCATTTCCCTGTGCACAAACTTGGTGCAGCCAGTTGGGCATTCCTATAAGGGGCCATCTTTGTTCTTTAAATACATGCACCCAGGACTGTTGTTCCCATGTGTAAAAAAAGCTCATGCCAGCCTTTGCGCTTGCCATTGCAATGTTCACCCTTTCAGTGGCAATATAACAACTCTTCCCCTGCCAGTGTCTGAGGACCTCAGCATCGCAGGAGGTGTGAATGCAGATCCCTGTGATCTGTGACCAGCCTGAGGATGTATAAAATGCCAAGGGTCTGTCTTCTGCTCCTGCTGTCTGTGTGCTTCTCCTAGCATTGTGTCCCCTGCAGCCTGTGGCTCTGGAGCTCCCTCAGCACAGCAGGCCATCTGCTATTGCAGCGAAGGGTTTTTGTCTGAGCTCCCTTTCACTTTCCATCCCTGTGTATCTTGCACAGTAATACACAGCTGTGTCACTAGCTTCCAGGCTGCTCATTTGTAGGTAGAAGGTGGAACTGTCCTTGGAGGCTGTGAATCGCCCCTTGATGGAGGAGGCATAAAAATTGTAGCTGGTGCTGTAATAATAGATCAGCCACTCCAGCCCCTTTCCAGGTACCTGCCTGACCCAGTTCATCCCATAGTCACTGAGGGTGAACCCACTGGTGACACATTGCAGTGTGTGGGATTCTCCAGGCTTCTTCATGGCTGCCCCTGATTGGGTGAGAACCACCTGGGAGAGGGCACCTGGGAGGGAAGAATAGAGAGTAATTAGTGCACAAGCCCAAACCATAAACCACATGAAGGAGCAAATAAAAGTTGGTGAGAAATGCAGGACCTAGTGACGTGGTGAGCCTTGCCCACGGCCCTGCATTAAGCCAAGGACAAAGGACTTTTTAGCAACACGACTCCACATCAAGAACCCAGGCTGCGGGCTGGGGGGAGGAAATACCTTCCAGTGCTGCTGCAATGAGAAACAACTGGATCCACAGCATCATGTTTCCCTGTGGGGTTGGCAGAGAGATCTCCAAAGACTGGCTGGTCCTGCCCAAGGCCTTGTGAGTAGAGCCTGGAGATGATTGAGAGAGTTATTAACACAGACATGGCAGCCCTATTTGCATCTCCCATTTGCATCCCCCTCTAGGAGACACTCTGCGTCCCTGGGCAGGGTCTGTCTGTCTTTCGGTTACTATATTTGATATTAGACTTTAGGAAGTGGCATTGAAGCCATAAAATTCTTGGGAAAGAATAGTCTGCCCTCTGAAGACAACGTTACTGAGTACAGCAATATGTAATTTCAAGTATAAGGCAAAAGAATAATAGACAAACTTAACCTAAGCTAAGACGCAGCCCAGTAAGACACATTGACAACACACACAACTTAGTCTAACTTAAAATGCAACTCCTTAAGTAAAAAGACAGAAGGAAGCCTTGCATGGGTCTTGCATAATCCCGAGGGCAGAATGTCTTCTATCAGCTAGGTATTTGGAAGGTCTTTTTGGGGGATCCACAGATCTGGGCAGGTGAGGAGATCCCACAGGCCTTATCTTTACCAGGGGTCTTATTGGTGATCTCAACCTCTTCCTTCCCTTGGGTTCCTTGACCATGACATGCTTTTCATGTCCATCACTTATGTCCATTACATATCACATATCCCTCACCACTCTCATGCATTCAGTGTCTCTGTCTCCTTTCTGCTATTCCAGTCAGATCAACTGGGAACAGGATTGTCCTCCCTCTACATGGCCACTGCCCACTAACTGCGGGTGCCTGGGAAAGGTTCCCCAGTATGGAAAAGTGTTGGGCCAGGCTTGCAGAGACCTGGATTCTGTGATATGCTTCTACTTTGAAAAGTAATTGTAGCTCCCTACATATAGCTTCAGAGCCAATAAGCCCTGCCCCCCCCGCCCCTCGTTATGACTGTGCCGGGTCTTTGCTGACATCCCCACCCAACCCATTTCTCCCCATCTCTCCTCTTTCCAACACCCCATGCCCAATACTGTGGCTGAAGGTTTGAACATGCCAAACAACTTCAGGTTTGGAGCATGCAGCTTCTACCCTTGATTGCTGGGCATTGGAGTTGCCAAACTGGATCCATCCCTTTCCAATTCCCTCCAGGTGTTTCTGAGCAGTCTACCAGATCCACTCCCAACTGAACTCCTAAAAGATGGGGTCTCCACTGATAGTGCAGGTAAGGGTGAGGGTCTCTCTAGGCTTCCTGAATCCAGCACCAGTCTGGACCAGCTGGATCTGAGAGGGGACACCTGGAAATATAAAGGGAATGTTAATATAAGTTATTTTCTGTTCCCCAGCTGGACTGTGGGTTGAAGACACCTGACAGCCCAGCTTCTGAGCAGGGATCAAGCAGGCAGAGGGTTGGAGCATTCCCCAGGGGGAATCAGTGTGGGCTGAGGAGGGAGAGAGATGATGGAAAAAGCCACAGCAAAGCCATCATGTGCAGAGGGGGAAACCAGCCCCAGCAGTGCCAGTTCTTCCTAAAGTGGGACTGGTGCTGCAGCCCTGCAGGTGCTGGGATTTAATCAGGGAGCCCAGGCCTGGGATTTGCATCACTGCTGTCCCTGGCACCCACAGCCCTGGGCAGGGCTGCCCAGGAAGCCTCTCCTTCCTGCCTCATGCCTCCACCCTCTCCATTTCTCCTATGGGTTTGCAAACAGCCCCCTCCACTCCCCTACCTCCCTCCCTTTCTCCCTCCTGCCTCAGGGTTTTTGGTTAAATCCAGGTTCCTGCTCCCGTGTGAGCTGCTTCAGGTGCTGCAGATTGGCAGCGGGAAGGTCCCTGACACAGATTATGGGGAAGAAGAGCGTAGCCACTGCAGATTCCTCTCCACTAGGTACCACCTGGCAGGGAATGGCGTGCCCAGGTAAGTCAGGCAGTGCTGAAGCACTGAAGTTTTGCACCTGGGGCAAAGCCTGCAGTGGCAGCCCACCCTTGCCCCACACACAGATCCAGGGGACACATGCCCCCCAGCTCCCACGCTTGCTGGGAGTGCACACAGCAGCGGAAGCCACCCTTCCCCTGCCCATCCACCCCCCCCCTCAAGTGTCATTCGTTGCTTCATTCCATGCTGCCCTGGCTGGGCAGTGCCTGTTGGTGCCCTCTTCATAGTTTTGTAGTTGGTCGGGTCAGAAGGGACCTGAGCAGATCATCAAGTCCAACCCCCTGCCATGGCAGGAAAGAGTACTGGGGTCAAATGACCCCAGCAAGGTGTTCATCCAGCCTCCTCTTAAAGACCCCCAGGGTAGGAGCCAGCACCACTTCTCTTGGAAGTTGGTTCCAGATCCTAGCTGCCCCGACAGTGAAGTAGCGCCTCCTGATGTCTAGTCTGAATCTATCCTCTGCCAGCTTGTGACCGTTATTTCTTGTCACTCCTGGGAGTGCTCAGGGGAACAGGGACTCCCCCAATGCCTGCTGGTCCCCTCTGACTAGTTTGTAACCAGCCACTAGATCCCCTCTCAGCCTTCTCTTGTGGAGGCTGAACAGGTTCAGGTCCCGTAGCCTCTCCTCGTAGGGCCTGCCTTGCTGCCCCCAATCATGCGGGTGGCCCTCCTCTGGACCCTCTCCATGTTGTCCACATCCCTCCTGAAGTGCGGCGCCCAGAACTGGACACAGTACTCCAGCTGTGGCCTGACCAGTGTTGCATAGAGGGGGAGGATCACCTCCTTGGACCTGCTTGAGATGCATCTGTGGATGAATGACAAGGTATGGTTGGCCTTCCTGACCGCTTCCCCGCACTGTCGGCCCATGTTCATTTTGGCATCATTTTGGCATCAATAATGACACATTCGCAGCTCCTCCACCTCCACACCCCCCCCAGCATCTCGCCACTCTGCTGAGGCCTGTGCAGCAGGCGCTGATGGAGTGGGAGTCCCAAGTCTCTAGGAAAAAGGCCTGGGTCAGGGACAGATGTTGACAAAGGAGGTTTCCAACTATCCCAAGGTCTGGGTGATGGACTGCCCAAGAAAGGGCTCTTGGGGAGGCCGAACCATGGAGACCCACGTGAAGACCTCAGCTCAGAGGGTCTCTGAGTCCAGGCCATCTTTATCCGGGACCTGTGCCCCCTGGGGTACACAGGCCTTGTAGACCTTGAGGGTGCTAGACCCACTACGAGACCCTGGGGTGCTTCCTTAAGCCTGAAGCATAGATAGTCGCCTCCCTTAGTCAGCCGAGCATAAGGATCATAAAGGCATGCCTTGATTCCTCTCCCAGCAAGTCCACCATGCTTGTTATAGTGGAGAGCTTTATTGGTTGAAGAGGGTAGGCTTGGGGAAGGGTACAGGTTAGAGAAGTATCAAACGAAAATCCAAGAGCAAACAGTACAGCTAGGTAGCCTTTTGTAATGCTTCTACATTACAGTATGCTATGTTTCTAGACAAGTTTCAGGTAAGTTATTCACATGTTCATCTGGACCCTAAAAGATCTCCGGAGGCTGTGTGCTTACTCCATGTTCCCCAATATGACTCCCCCTCTTCCAGGAAGAAGGGACTCTTAAATAACCTTTCTGACTTCATCTTCCAGATCCAATCAGGGCAGGTGTTGTTTGAGGCTGACCAACCAATTTAAAAAACATCACTGGCCACCTAAGCGTGTGACATGGCTCAAGCCCCTACCCCTCTGCCATGAGGTCAGTGCTTCAAAAAATAGAGCAGTTAAATCCACACTTTCTTACCTGTCCTCCTCAGGCAAGCAGGCAGAGATGGTTGCTTAGCAAGCAGAGTGATAGACACATGAGCAAGAGGAGAGGGAGAAACAGATTAGCCCCAGGGCAAGGAGGAGGCTGGAATAGGATTCCTCCACCCCCCCCCCCCTTCCTTTGAATGCTGGGGCCACCAGGGTGACAGACAGGTATGGAGGCAATGACAGAGGAAAAAAAAACCAACTAGTGAAAGAGACAGTGAAGAGACTGGGATGGGATTTCTCTACACAGGCATCCTCTGCAGATTGCACCAGATCAGGCCCCAGTGGGTCACCTGGGAGGCCAGCTGTACTTCCATGGGCTGGTTTGGGGCACTGGAGGACAAGGACCCTGGGCCTCAGAACCATGGAAGTCCCCTGGAGGGGGAGACCAAGAGGACAATGTCCTTCATTCTGTGGGTAACCCCTGATGAAGCCCTGGCAGAAGGCTGGAAAGAGTTAATGGGAGACTAATTATCTCCCAGAGCTGCAGTTCCCTGCCCACCAGCCCCAGCTGCTCCAGGAGGCTGAGCTTAGGGAGCCTGGGGACTGCATCAGGAAGCTGCTCTGTGCAGGCTCCTGCCCTGCAGCTGGGAGAAGCCGTGGCAGGAGAAGTCTCAAGTGGGAGGTGAGATGTCTCCACTCCTTGCCCTGGGCTCCAGGCTGGGGCCTCAGACCTGAAGCCTTGTAGAGAAATCTCCCCTGGGAGCCAGGCACCCTTGGGCTGGAGGCTGGGGTCTCTCTGTGCCCCTCTGGTCCCTGGTGGGGTTTATTCTCCTTGCTGGAGCTGGCAGCTGCCTTGATGTGTCTGGGCCAGTGGCTGGTACTGTGCCCTTCAGTGCCGTGCCAATGAGGTGTGTGTGTAGGGGTCATCCCAGGCATGAATGATGCATGCCCCTGGCATTTAGGGGGACACAGCTGCGGTGGTGGCAGGAGCATGGTGGTGATAAGCGGGAGATCTCCAGCAGATGCTGCCAGTGCTGCCACTGGTGGGGGGGCCAGTGTGTGGCAAGTGCCGACCAAAGGTCAGCAAACACCCACAGCCAGCTGTTGGTTTTGCATTAGGATCTCTTTCATGGCTTTGAATGACTTTGTGTAGGTCTGGGTGGAGACCTGTGCATGCACTGAGGGCAGGCTATCCTGTGAGAGTACTAAAGCCTTCCAATAGGAGGGTCTTGGCTACACTATTTATGGTGATGGGGAATTGCTTGCAGGCTTTCCTTCTAGCTTACTCCTTCAGGCTTTTGGCTGGGGGCAAGAGAGACTAGGTGGTATCTGAACTCTAAGGCCTCTGGTCTTGAGGCTTGTACGTAGGTTGCAAGCCATGGATTTAGGAGTATCTGAAGCCACGGGCTGCGGAGTCTGGGAGGGAGGAGACTTGCCGGCGGTAGTGCCACATGGAGTTGAATGATTGAGATCGGCTCAGTCAGTGGTAGTTGGAGCTGATTTGGGTGACTGGGCCCCAGATATGATATATTAAAAAGAAAAGAAAAGATGGGGGGCACCCAGGCATTTCCTTCTGTACCCCCTGTGTTTACTGTGGGCCAGGATGAGCAATGAGGGCTGTTTCCTGTGCTCTGGGAGGTAGTGGAGAGCCCTTGGCTCTGTGCTGCCCTGACTGTGGATCTACTGATCATCTGGGATTTCAGGCTGTGATGGTGTGCCCCCCAAGAGCTCATGGAGTAGCCAGGAGAGGGGGAGCCCACCCAGGCAGGTGCTTGGGTGGTTCCCCAGGTGCACACACTATAACAGGCTTTTTTCCACAATGAAGACCAAGAGGAGATTTTGGGGGGGTCTTTGCCTTTGATGTAACTGGGAGAAAGGTCCTGGTGCCTGTGTGAGATCACTGGATCTGGTTTGTACTTTCCGAGGGTGGGGATGGTGGGGAGCTCAGGAGGGGACTCCAGAGCTCAGCTCCAGAGGGGTGCACAAACTGGTGCCTCTGCATGGGCCCTGCTCAAAGAAAGGTTTTTGTCTGGGCTTCCCGCACAGTGAGTCTCTCGCAGTGATATCGGCCGGTGTCCTCGGGCCTCAGGTCACTCATGTCCAGGTGCAGCAGGGCCCTGGCATTGTCCCTGGAGATGGTGAAGCGCCCACTCACTCCAGGGATGTAATAGGTGCTGCTGCCAGAGTTGTCAATGGCAGAGACCCATTCAAGCCCCTTCCCAGGAGCCTGACGGACCCAGCCCAGCCAGTAATTGCTGAAGGTGAACCCAGAGGCTTTGCAGGAGAGGCGCAGAGAGTCTCCAGGCTTCCTTACATCCCCTCCAGTCTCCACCAGCTGCACCTGGGACTGGGCACCTGGGGAGAAAAGAGAATGATTCAGGGTTCTGTCCTGGCAGGCTTGCCAAAGCCCACAGAGCCAAGGGGGCATTCGCTGCTGATTTCCATCGGCTTTTACATCAAGTGAGGATTTTATGTTGCTCCCTGGGCTCCACAGAGCTGTGGAACGTGGCGGGTCCCAGGGACTTACCTGATAAGGTGGGGAGGAGGAAGAGGAAGTATCCCCAGGACAGCATGATGCTGGGTTGCAGGGTTGGCTCAGACACCTGGTCACCCCTTATACACCCCAACCCTGTAGGGCCAGCAGCTGCCAGCATTTATGAAGCCTCCACAGCACTAGATTTGCATCTCTCCCCCATCATAGAGCCCCATTCCAGCCCTCCAGCACCATCTCTGGGAGTGGGGGTGGGGTGGGGGGAGGTTCCAGTGTGATGGAGGGTTAGGCCAGTCCTACACAGGGATTAAGCTTGAGGGTGTGCCATGGCATGGCTGCATCCAGGGCCATCCCTGGGTGGGGCAAATTGGGGCAACTGCCCTGGGACGTGTGCTTTGGGGGGCCCTGCAGAGTGGGGCAGAGCAGCAGTGGCACGGAGTTGGGTGGAGCAGCAGTTCTGGGTCCATCCGCTTGCTCCCCCCTGCCACTGATGCTGGTCTTGGCAGCTTCTTTGGTCCCACGCCGTGGGATCAGAGTGGGGCAGGGCCCCACATGGGCTCATTTGCCCCAGGCCCTGCGCTCTGCTTGGGTCAGCTCTGGCTGCATCCACCTTTTCGATTGCATCCAGCCTGGGACTCTCCACAGCAAATAATCCCCCTTCTCCCCCTTCATGCTCAGGCACATCCCCTTCCCCAACCTTCCTCTGCTGCTGCTCCTGCTTTATTCCAGTCTGGGTTAGAGGGTTCCCCTTTATCTCTGTCTGCTCTGTGGGGGAAGAGTGGGGTGGGGTGGGGAAATCTACTCCCCACCAATCTTGCTGCTACACCTGGTGCTGTTCCCAGCTCACAAGTAGCCCAGGAGCAGCTTTGAAGCCTCCATACTTCTGGGACAGCATGAAAAGCAATAGTAGCAGGAGGGGAGGGGTAAAGAGGAGAGAGGATGTGACTCTGAGCTTAGAGGAGATGATGGGGTCTCTCTCTACCAGTTGTGGGAAGAGGAAGCTGGGAGCGGGGTTGTAGCTGCCCCTGCAATGGGGTGGCTGCACCTTCACCCCACTTAGCCAAACACTGGACCCACCCATTGTCCTGCCCTGGATGTGCTTTTCCATGAGGATACTTGCTGCTTACTAGAGGAATTTTCCCTGGTTCCTCCCCTTCCTCACAGTCTGTCTCTGCTCTCAGCATGTGGGGTCTTTGGGGCTGATAATTGTCCCTTCCTGAGTGTCTTCACAGTCACAGAATTAATGCAGGGGTTGTGTAACTGTCCCAGGGTTGTGGTTTGCTCTGCGTTGCTGTGAGTCCATGTTACAGTGATAAGTGTTGGTGTCTGGCCAAGGGCTGGTGATATCCAGGCTGAGGAGGAGCTCTGGCTTCCTGGATAAGGAGTCAGTGCTTGAGCAGGGAGCTCTGAGCAGGGATTTGCAGGTGGTCCCAGGCTGGGGGATGTCAGGGATGGGGTAGGCCGTGGGCTTTGTCTACCCCAGCACAGGGTCAGAGGAGGGGCAGACTGAAGTGCTCTGGGTCAGAATACAAGGGGTCGGGGGAGAAAGGGACTTAATGGTGGGAGTCTACTACAGACCACCCAACTTGGGGGAAGAGCTGGACCGGGAATTCTCAGGTCAGCTCGCAGAAGCAGTTAAGTCAAGGGACGCGGTCATCATGGGTGACCTAAACTACCTGGACATCTGCTGGGAGGAGATCTACTAGGTCTGACTGCTGACGTAGGTTCCTAGCTGAGATACAGGACCTCCACCTAACCCAGGAGGTGCACAGTCCCACCAGGCGGAATACCTTGCTGGAAATGGTCCTGGCCACCTGGTGAGGGGACTGCGGGTTCTCGGCCACCTGGGCGATAGTGATCATCGCCTGCTGGAATTCACCATCCAGCGCAGGGTGTCAAAGGCCTGCAGCAAGACAGCAGCCCTGGACTTCAGGAGGATGGATTTCAATGGGTTAAGGAGATTAGTCAGGGAGGCACTAAGGTCCCAGAGAGGAAGGGAGTTGGGAGCCCAAGAAGAGTGGTTATTCCTTAAGGAGACGATTCTCTGAGCCTAAAGGGTGACAGTCCCAACGCGAGTCAAAGTGGGCAAGAGTGCTCAAAAGCCCCCATGGCTCATCAAAGGCACTCAGGATCGTCTGAAAGCTAAAAAGGAGGCGTACACCCGATGGAAGGGAGGGGCCATTATCAAGGAGGTTTATACCTCCATTGCTTGAGGCTATAGTGGGGCTGTTAGGAAGGCTAAGGTGGAGACAGAACTGGGACTAGCGACCAGGATCAAAGACAACAAGAAGTCCTTTTTTAAATATATAGGGAGTAAAAAGAAGGCACCGGGTAATATGGGGCCTCTGCAGGACATGCTTGGCAATCTGGTGGTTGCACCAGATGATAAAGCTGACCTCTTTAACAAATTCTTTGCCTCCATATTTCTGAGCAGGGACTGGGACATCCCCCACTCTGGGATCCCGGACAAACCCAGGCGAGGCACAGCTGGGCCCAGGGTCAGAGAGAACCTAGTCGGGTAACTTCTGGTGGGACTGGATGTGTTCAAATCAGCAGGTCCAGATGATCTCCACCCAAGGGTACTGAGGGAATTGGCAGAGACTATTGTGGGACCCCTGGCACAGCTGTATGAGCGCTTGTGGTGCTCTGGCGAGGTGCCAGAGAATTGAAAAAGGGCCAATGTGGTCCCCATTTTCAAAAAAGGGAGGAAGAAGGACCCAGGAAACTATAGGCCTGTTAGTCTTACCTCGGTCCTGGGGAAGCTCTTTCAGAAAATTATCCAAGAACACATTTGCAAGGGACCAGCAGGGGAGATCATGCTTAGGGGCAATCAACATGGGTTCATAAGAGGCAGGTCCTGTCAGACCAACCTGGTGGCCTTCTACGACCAGGTCACAAAATCCTTGGATGCAGGTGTTGCGGTGGACGTAGTCTTTCTGGACTTTAGGAAGGCCTTTGACACTGTCTCTCACCCCATTCTCATTAAAAATTTAGGCAACTGTGGTGTCAATACCTACACAGTCAGATGGGCTGCAAATTGGCTGGAGGGCCACACCCGGAGAGTAGTGGTGGACGGGTCATTTTCTACCTGGAGGGATGTGGGCAGCAGAGTCCCCCAGGGCTCAGTCCTCAGGCCCGCACTGTTCAACATCTTCATCAGCAGCTTGGATGAGGCGTGGAAAAGCACCTTGTTCAAGTTTGCAGATGACACTAAGATGTGAGGAGAAGTGGGCACGTTAGAAGGGAGGGATAGGCTACAGCTAGATCTGGACAGGTTACGGGGGTGGGCGGATGAGAACAGGATGGGTTTCAATACTGAGAAGTGCAAGGTGCTGCACCTGGGTAGGAAGAACCAGCAGCACACCTACAGGCTGGGGAACTCCCTTCTCATCAGCACAGAGGCAGAAAAGGATCTTG